TAATGCTGCTTTAAAGGGAACTCTAAGGTTCCTCCGGTGGAGCGGTGTAGGGTTTAGGATCTACGGTGTTGGGGTTTAGGGTTTAGGGTTTAGGGTTTAGGGTTTAGGGTTTAGGGTTTAGGGTTAGGATTTAGGGTGTAGGGTTTTGGGCCTTTAGGGTTTAGGGTTCTGTGTCATTTAAGGGTTCCGTGAGAGTACCTTAAGGGTTGCTTGAAGGGTTAACTTGCAAAAGATTTAGGCTTTAAGCTTTGAGGTTAACGTTTAGGACTTCGGGGTTTAAGGTTTAGGGGTCCAGGGTTTAGGACTTTGAGTGCAAGTAGGGCTTTGCGTTTTCAGGGGGCTTAGGGTTTTCAGGGCTTGTAGGATGTAAGGTCAGGCTTTAGGGTTTAGGGGTGAAGTATCATAATGTGTTTGTCCTCAGTTCCTTCGGTATGTATAGGCTGGGGCTCTGCGCGGATCAGACTCCAAACAGTTCTGTGCTCAGTGGGTCTACTGCCTTTCATAGTCGTCAAAGGTTGACGACTCATGGTTCAATAGAGTTTCAGGCTGTAGGGTTTAAGATTCAGGGTTTAAGGTTTGGCTGATATAGGGGCCTAAATAACTACATATACTATGTTGGGGGGCTCCTTAGAAGACTTATAGTATAGTGTACCCCACAACCCTATTCAAATTATTAAGGCCTCTACATTGTTCCCATCAGCGCCTATGACAGCGTCGCCAGTACAGCTCCGCGCGTGTACTCTATGTAGCATGACATAAATCCTGCAATGCCCATAATAAGGAATATACCATAATTCCCATAGTTTAGGGTCCTTAAGGCAATGCAGGATTTGTATCATCAACAGAAGGTGCCTTATCTAGGGGTCCGTTTAGTAAAGATCTTGTCTGCTGAAACTCCCATACGGGTGCCTCGGGGTAGACGTGTTTAAGATCTGAAACCTGTTGCTGCCCTGCCTTTCGCGTCGCCATGGAAAAGAACTTAGGGCTTGAGGGGGCTTTAGATTTAGGGCTTGAGTTCGAGGTTGTAGTCGTAAATACCGGACATCAGAGAGCCCGAGGGTGACGGCGGTGCAGTGCGAATCAGCTGCGACCTAAACTCTTGCTAAGAACTTGGTGTAAAACTTCTGGACTGTCCGGAGAATGACATCACCTGCGGGCCCAAATCCTATTGGGTAGTTGTCTAAATTAGGGTCCCTTTCAGGGTCCTTGTTATAAGGGTGCCGTAATTTATTGGGGACCTAAAAGGGGACCCTAATTTAGAAAACTATCTTATTGGTTTTTGGCCACCAAAAGCCTGAAAATGCGGGTCCATTTCCCAGGACCTTTGCTTGTCCCTTTGGCTGACTGCCAAAAGCGATCCAAGTACTCTTGCCCAGGCATGATCACTCGTGCCATGCTGCCTTTGATTCGCGGTAGAGGCTGCTAAACAACTCGTGTGGCAGGCTGATGATGTGGGCATGTTCGCCGATGGGCATCCCGACTCCAGCAATGGGCACAGCAGTCCCTATGGGGGTTTCCAAAAATAGGGGACACTAATATGGTACCCTAAATAATAGGTTCCTTATTATAAGGACCCCAAAAGAAGGTACCCTAATTTTCGGAAAGTCCCATATTGACATTGTTGCTGTATTGACGGAGGTTCCAAGCCTGGCGAGGGGCTCGAGGTCAGTTATGGTTCTTTCTCTGGCATCCTGCAATGCTCACGCAGATATTGCCTGCCCTAAACCCTAAACCCTAAACCCTAAACTCTAAACCCTAAGCCTGCAGCTGCTGTGGTGATAGTAGGTCCCATGCAAACTGTTCCAGGAGCCAAACTCTCAATCTGGAGCCCTCCTCTTTCTTGCAGGTGGCACGAAACCGGCCATGACACAGGAGATAGGACATCTTGAATTCGTTCTATAAGGTAAAGAGCTTAGTGTTCTAGGGTTGGTGCATAAGGGTTGAGGGTTAGGGGTACAAAGTTGAAGGCTTCTAGTCTTCTGGAGTTGGGGTTGAGGGTTCAGCTTCAGAGGTTTAGGGTTGTAGGGTTTAGGGTTGAGGCTGTCGGGTTTAGGGCCTCTGTTGAGGGCCAGGGTTTTGGGTTCAGGGTTTGGCAGCCCAGTCACTCTGAGCGTGGTTTGAGGGTTTGGGGTTAAGGGATTCGTGTTCTAGGGTTGGGGTTTATAGGGTTCAGGGTATAGGGTTGAGGGTTTACGGTTGCATAAGGTTTCTTGTTGCCAGCTAAAGGTGCGGTGACCATAATCATATCTACTTCTAATCTCGTCTATGGTACTTGTAATGTCTACAGCCTTACTAAAAAAAACCGTTTGATCCCAAGTCATTCGTTTAACACCTACAGCAAATCTTGCGCTCTCTACAGCGACTCCTTGACGGTCTTGCCGGCCTTCTTGTACCTCAAATATGTTCCAAATTGGGTGTGACGTCCCCATAGAGACTCTTGCAAATGTCTGTAAAGGGTTAATGAATGAAGGGAAAGGTTTTCTGCGGATTTCATAATTTCATAAGGCATACGCAGTTGCAAGGGGTTTTTAGACAGGCTCTGAAAGGGCTCTCCTAGAGGTTCATTTCAGATATAAATGGGGTAGTTACAAGTCCCGTAATGTGGATTATAACTCTAGTTAGCCTACTTATAACCCCAGTTGTACCGACTCATGAACCTCCAAGCTATAGCCCAAAAACCCATGGCTTCAGCCTAAACCCTAAACCCTAAACCCTAAACCCTAAACCCTAAACCCTTAGGGCTCAAAGGCTCTCGTGCTTTACGGCTTAGCGCTCAGAGTTTCACGGTCCAGGGCTCAGGGCTGAGCGGATTTACAGGGCTAGAGAATCCCTGAGCGTTTAGGGTTCCTTTAAAGGAACTATCAGGGTTCCTATAAGAGATCGATAAGGGGCAGTATAGGAGTTTAGGGCTAGTGGGTTTAGGGTTTAGAAATTGGGAGCAGGGGCCCCTATGTGTTTTGTCATTCCATGTTTCGCCGACCGGCATGGAGAAGTTGTTTAGTACTGCTGAACGGTTCCAACCTGAAAACCCTTCTAAAAACCTTCGGTTGAGGGCTGAGACCTAAACCCTACGAAACCCTAAACCCTAAACCCTAAACCCTACTAAACCATAAACCCTAGACCCGACTATGCCCTAAACCCCAAACCGTTGCTCTTCGAAGCTCTGGTCGTGATCAGCGACTTCAACTCTTCAGGTTAAAGATTGATGGCAAGCTATCGGCTAAGGCCGGTGGCTTGGGGTATAGGGTTTAGGGTTTAGGGTTTCGGGTTTAGGGCTAAGGGTCCACGTAGCCACTGGGATTTTGGATGCCAGACGTTTTGCAGGGTAGAGACCTCGGACCCTTAGTCCTAATTTCTGTGTACTTGGACGGCTTAGGGTTTAGGGTTTAGGGTTTAGGGTTTAGGGGTTACTTGGAGCTTCGAGGTGGGCACGCGACAACCAAAAACGACCCGAATAAATCAGCCCCTCATCGAGCCCTAAGATAGCTTGTATACCTATGAAGCACGCGTTGTGGCACCTCTGCAAAGTCCCAACCCTTACCTTATGGAAGCCGTAAAAAGCCGCGTGAAAAACCTAAACGAAACGGGTTTAGGGTTTAGGATTTAGGGCTTAGGATTTAGGGCTTCCGGAAGCAAGCGCTCACTATCTTACTGAACCAAGAAAGTCGCGACCGGGAGGCTCGCAGCCAACCACGGTGCCGGCATTGACAATCAGCTTGTACACCTCTGCCTTGGAGACCATGGGGTTTAGACTTTGCGGTGCAGGGTTTAGAGTTTAGGGCTTAGGGTTTAGAGTTTCGGCATTGTTGTTGTGTTGCTACGTCTCTTTTGCAAAGGGTTTGGGGCATTTTGAGGCCTTACATGGTTATATGGGCGGTACATGCAGTTTATAAGGCTTGTCAGCATTTCCGATAGGCGTATTTGTAGCTATTAGGACTTTGGGTTTAGAGTTTAGGATCAAGTGCGCAGGTCCTGTGCACGGTGTGGGCTTTTAGCGAATTATTGGCAACTCTTGCGAAGAGGAGCATGCGCATCACTTCGACTGTGCAGGTGCTATACGATTGAGCGATATTGCAGTGCCCTAAACCCTAAACCCTTCAATGGGCTCGGCTTTCACAGACAAGAAAGCGCCTGAGGGAGGAGCGATAATGCCCAACCCTCAAACCCTGACGCTTGCTTAGGGGCTTAGGGTCTATCGGAGTTAGGGTTTAGGGCTGTCACGGGAACGGATATCGGTCGCATTCGGCATTCTGCAGCTTTCAAACCTAAACCGTTGATCATAATGGTTGATCCGGACCCGATGGATGCAGGATTTGCAGGGTTCAGTGTGAATTTGGGGAGATATGTTCCGGAATTTAAGTAAGTGGGTGATCACGGAAGGCTTGTGTTCTACATGATTAGGCCTAGGGCAGCTTTGGGATTAAAGCTACCAGTCGTTGTGGAACACTGTCCGAGTTTGTCTGCCTTCGTGACGATGCGAGCTCGGTTGGTCTTCTCAGCAACCTTCTCCAACATCTGGATCAAGGCGTAGGTGATGGTCATTCCTGCAAGCTGCCACGAGCATGTGGAGGGATGGCAAAATTATAAAAGCCCCTTCCTTGACGAACTGAGAACCCTAAACCCTAAACCCTAAACCCCAAACCCACACAAAAACAAATTGGCCCGACGGTTTCGGATCTAGATCAGCGGCCAGCCCGAGGTCAGAAAATGGCAATTTGGGGAGGTACTGTATCTAAACCGGGGCTCCTTCTTAGGCCTTTTATTGCAAGGGTAGTGCCGTCATGCTGGATTCCAGATAGGGACTCAAATTCAGATAACCCCCCCCCCCCGACTTTCGCGGAGAGAGAAAACGCAACAGCTGGAACGGTTGGCTTAACATATGTCCTATAAACCCTAACCCTAAACCCTTAAACCCTGAACCCTAAAACCTAAACCTATTCAGGCCCCCCACATTACTTCATACTCGTGTGGGTTTCTCAGCCAGCAGGCAAAGCCCAGCTGGTGATCCGGTCAAGAGCCCAGAACAACCTTGACTTGACTAACCGTAAGGGTTTAGGGTTTAGGGTTTTGGGTTTTGGTAGTCCTAACACCAAGCACTCACCATAGTTCTCACCCTAAACCCTAAACCCTCCCGTGCAGAACCCCTTCACGATTTTTTTCTTGGAACCCAAAATGTCCTGCTATAGAAGCGTGAGCAATTAGGACTACGATTCCTCATAAGGTTCTTTACGCTAGGTATAGTAGAACTTACCTTACATACTTACTCTGCTTGCGAAGGCCCCTTTCCTAAAGCCTTACGATGACCCTGACGGCAATTATAATTGTAACCCTACTGGAACCAATTAAAGGAGCCCCAACCCCAAACCCTAAACCCTATTAATCCCTAATCAAACCTTAAACCCTAAACCCTTATATCCCTAAACCCCTGAACCCTCATCGCCGCTCCTGGGAAGCGCTCCTTGCCGCGGTGCGTGCGGGGCTGGGAGTGCCCTCCCAGTCGCGCGACGAGGGAGAGATCGAGGTCGAACTTGTCCACCTAAGGGTTGGGGTTTAGGGTTTAGGGGTTCCTTTAAGGGGTTCTCGGAAAGGTTGCTATATGGGTGTAGCATAAGGACCTTACCTAATGCTAGGCTATACCTCAAGAGCTTTCAGATTACTGTACTAGGCTTCCTTTAAAACTAAGCTCTAAACCCTAAACCCTTTAACATAAAGGCCTCTAAGACAACTTGAGTTTAGGCTTCAGGGTTTAGGGTATAGGGTTTAGGGTATGTGGTTTAGGGTTGGGGTTTAGGGTTTAGGATTTAGGGTATAGGGTTTAGGGTATAGGGCTTAGGGTTTAGAGTATAGGTTTAGGGTTTAGGGCTTTCAACATGCTTCAAGCAACGGTGTGTTGGGCACATGGTGCCCTAAAGATTTGACAGTTTTGCGGTTTAGGGTTCAAAGACGGGTTGTCGACAGGAGTCAGGTCTTGGAGACTTGTAGTGTCTTAGGATAGTTGGGTCCATCCTAAATAGGAGTTTAGGGGGTGGCTCTTGGATTTTAGGGGACGCTTACGGGGGATGTGGGGTTTACGGCCTCCAGCGTTTCGTGCCAGGTGCTCTGGGTTGATGATGCGCTGGTCGGGATTGACATTGAGGCCGAAACCCAGGCAACCTTCATATTCAGGGTTTGGGGTTTATTGCTGCTAAGTCCCAAACCCGACAACCAAATTTGCATCCAGGCACGAGCCAGTCAACATCCGCTGCGCTGTTGGCACAGAGCACCTGCAGATGCTGGCGATTGTCGGCCAACGCCGTGAATCTTTTTGGCAAGCCCGAAAAACGCCCGTAGACACAACCAGATAAATAAACTGTGATAATTCGCGCGGAAGCGCTGTACGGTCCAATCCCTCGTAACCACCCGTCTGAAACTGCATATATGTAGCCCTTCAACAAAACGCATAAATCCTTGTAGTGCCTCTATAGAACCCCACTAACCCTGCACCACCCTCCAGAAAGTCTCATACGTAAAGGGTCCTAAGTAACGATAGAATAGCAAGTAGGGTTTCTAAAATAGGAATTACCCCTAAACCCTAAACCCACTCTTTTCTGGTTTGAGCAAGCATTCCCCATCTTGGAACTCGAGACCCTTTCGCATGGCCTTGGCAACGGAACCCTAAACCCTGAACCCTAAACCCTGGGTTTAGGGTTTATAGGGTTTAGGGCTTACAGTAGGGTTTAGGACTGATGGAATCATGAACCCTACCCTTCACCGAAACCCTTCACCACCGGCAGAAAGTCTGATAGCCTTGGCAAGCTCTGGCTTCTTCGCGCCGCCCTTCAGCGTGTCCGCGATGAAGATCCTGAGGGCAGGCGAGCTCCGAAAAATCGCTGCATCCACAGAGCCTTCTGGTTTCAGGGTTTAGGGTTTCTACATAAAACCCTAAATCCCGAGGACACCTCATAAAACAAACATGTCCGTGGAACCTTTTTGCGATGTTAGGCTTGCCCTGCAGGGTCCCGCAAACCTACACCCCCAAAAAAAAGTTAGGGTTTGAGCTTGAGGTAGGGTTTAGGGTTTAGGATGTAGGATTCAGGAATTCGGGCTCAGGGCTATGTACACCCTAAACCATAGCTGAACCCTGGTCGCTCCCAATAGGTACCAAACAGTAAACAATCACATCCCGAATTAGACCCTAAACCCTGATACCTGTAGCACCTATAAATTTACAGGAACGTTTAAAAGATCGGTTTAGGGTTTAGGTTTTTGAAGGAACCCTCATAGGACCCTTGAAGGAACCACAAAGCGACCCAGCCACTCTGCCGTGTCCGGGATGGACTTTCCTTTCTGGGTCTTGGTCCCAGCACCTGGGTCGGGCACTTCATGTCTCGTCTCCAAGGGGTCCTTCAAGGGTCCCTAGCACTAAGCTCCCCTAAACGACTAAACCCTTAGCCCCTAAACCCCGAACCCCTAAACACCTAAACCCGAAGCCTTAAACCCCTAAAATCCAAATCCTCAATCAACCGTAACCTCTACGCCCTAAACTCTGAACCCTAGGGCCTCGTTTAAGGAATCTGCTATGGCATCTATATATGCGCTCTAGATCTTAGGGGTTTGGGGGTTGAGGGCTTTCAGGTAGGGACCTTAGTAAGAAGAACAGGCATCTCTAAGAGTTCTTGAAGAGTTCTTGAAGAACCCCCTAAACCCTAAACTCCTGTGCCAAAAACGCCCATCTCGGGTCGGGGAAGAGTTAAGAGCCTCAGAATGAGTTTAGGGTTTAAGTGTTTAGGGCTTCTTTTGCCGCTGATGGAGGGTGGGGGGGGTTCATGCCATGCCCAAGAATTGTTTACCAAGTTCAAAGGGGGCGAATGATAGTCAGAATGCCAAACACGAAGATTCAAAAGCAAAAACTCGCAACACGCCTACCCGAAACCACTAAACTCTAAACCCTGTCACCCCGAAATCTTTCTGTGAATCATGCAAGATATTATGGCTTCAGGGTTTTCCAGAACCCTGCAGCCGGAAAATGGGCGCTCAGCGGCTCTCTCGTCTTTCAACGCAGGAGAGCTCCACAAATTATGCAGGACTCCGGAGTGCACGGCTTGTGTAATATCTCGTTTCTCAATGTTATGGGCTTAATGATACTAGAATTACAGTAGGAACCACAAGAGGATACGCTTGCTAGGCTATTGCCAACGAGTCCGGCACCCATATGTGGGCTCCTCAGTGTACTTTTGTGAACAAGTTCTGAAGCAAAAGTTACGAAATCTCTGGGCAAACCCTGTCAAGCCCAGGTAGTTTTGGCCACGGTGCCATTGATGCCGCTGGTGGCCTTTCGGGCATGTATGTTTGAGATCTGGATAAACACAGGTAACCAAAAGACTTACACCTGAAGAACGCCTTATTATGGCTTCAATATATATATTCCTTCAAACTAAACCCTAGACCGTGAACCCTAAACAGCTGAAGTGTTTTGGGCTAAAGGGTCTAGCTTCTATGGAATTCACACATGCTTTCGGCTCTGAGAAATGAATCGTGGCTGCAGTTTTTCGCGGCAGCTTGACCATTCTGCTGTTAGGGCGGTTTAGGAGTGAGGGCAGCTAGGCGTTTAGGTTTAGGGGTTTGGGTTTTGGGGCCATTAGGGTTTAGGGTTTAGGATAATTACGCTTATACCAGGAAACCCCAAAACCAAAAACATGCGACTTGGCGTGACTTTGATCATTTTGTGGGTAGTTCCCTAAATTAGGGCCCCTTTTTAGGTCCCAATAATATAGTACGGCACCCGTATAAAAAGGACCCTAAATCAAAAGGAACCCTAATTTTTAAAACTCCCCTTGCTCATGACCTACCAGTTTGTGTACTGAGCTTCTGTTCGTGTAGCCCTGTGCGAACCTTGCGGTACTCATAACCCAGCAACACGCTAATTATGCAGTATGGGGGCTTCAATGATCATAAAAAGGCCTAGGGTTTAGGGTCTAGAATAAAGGGCTTGTGGGTATATCGTAGTATGTTCAGAATAAAACCTAAAACCCTAAACTCTATAATTACAAGGAACCCTAGGAAAAACAAACGCATGACGAAGTAATCCGACCCAAACCCTAAACCCTAAACCCTAAACCCTAAACCCTAAACCCTAAACCCTAGAACCATGTCCTGAACCCGAAAGCCTAGACCATTACAAAACCCTTAATCCCCGTAAGCAGGGTTTAAGGTTTAGGGAGTTTAGGGTTTGGGGTTTAGGGTCTTTGGGTTTAAGGTTTGGGGTTTAGGGTTCAGGGTTCAGGGGTTAGGGTTTAGGGTTTAGGGTTTAGGTTTGAGGGTTTGGGGTTTAGGGTTTAGGGTTGTGGATAGCGAGAGCTCGATTCGCCACTTGGAAATATTGGACTTAGCCACTTCTTGAGTGGGATGTTGTTGGAAAATACGACCGGAAATGGTATAGGCTGGATCCAAAGCCTTATCCACAATGTCCTGTGCAGGATCCGAAACAGGCGCGGCTTGAATCGTGAGCGCACTTGCCGCAGCAGCTTTACTGCTTAAGCGGACACGCTTGGCAGGAGGCTCGCTCATAGCTAGAAGGCTCGAGGCTAAGTTCTTGGCCTTTTCAGCCTGCAGTTGGGCCTGAAGGCCCTAAACCCTAAACCCTAAACCCTAGACCCTAAACCCTAAACCCTAAACCCTAGACCCTAAACCCTAAACCCTAAACCCCTAAACCGTTACGAGGGGCGACCTGGGGGGGGCGTTACAGGAACTGGTGGCTGCTGTTGTGTGACTCAGATCTGACGAAGAAGACACACCACTGCTGACAGTTAGGGTTTAGGGTTTAGGGTTTAGGGTTTAGGGTTTAGGGTTTAGGGTTTAGGGCAGAAGCAGACTCCTAGCGTAGACGGGTCGGCGGACTTAGTAAATGGATTACGGGTAGGGTATCTGTAATGACTTATAGGCCCCATAGTGATTTCTTTTTGGGATTCCCTAATAGGTCTTAAATAAAAGCCACAAAAAGGAACTACTATGGGGCCTGTGGGTACTGATACCTACTTATATCCCAAATCTAAACCCAAAAACCCTAGACTCGAAGTGCTGGATAGTCGTCCCACTTACGAGGTCTCCTGATTACACGCTAAACCAAGCACGCGACACCATGCAAGAACCCAAGGACCACCTTCGAATAGCAGTCCCAAACACTGCACCCCTGAAAAGCCTCAACTCTGAGCCCTACACCCTAAACGCTAAACCCAGGTTAACATAGAAGCCGAAATAATTACCGATGTTATTGTTAGGGTTCCAAATTATAAATATACGATAAAGGAGCCCAGAACCATATTCTAATTATTAAGGCTCCTACATTAAGGTTTCAAGGCTGTTCGGAAACTAGACCCTTATAAACCCGAAGCCATACGGTACCCAGGCCTCCTAAACCTGCCCTAAACCCTAAACCATATACCATAAACTCTAAAGCCCTGAACCCTAATTAAACCTTAAACCCTGTACCATAAGCCCTAAACCCTAGGTTCTCCAGTAGCCCCTTAATAATAAGGGTACCCTTTTTCCTACTATTTGGTTTTAATAAGGGAACCCAAAAAAGAAAAAGGGCAAAAGGGTACTACTGGGGAACCTAGAACCCCTGAACCCTGTACCCTAAACCCTCAACCCCTGAACCCTAAACCTAAACCCTGTACCCTAAACCCTGAACCCTGTACCATAAACCCTAAACCCCTGAACCCTAAACGATGCAAGGGCGACGTGGCGAAACAGACTACAACAAGCTTTGCCGGAGGCAGGTCCAAAGCCTGTCGTTTTGGGCTCAAGGTTTTGAGGTTTAGTGTTTAGGGTTTTAGGGTTTAGGGTTTTATGGGACAGGGTTTAGGGTTTAGGGTTTAGGGTTTTGGGTTTAGGGGCTTAGGGGTTTAGGGCTTAGGGGTTTAGGGTGGAGGATTAGGGTGTTGAGCTTGGGTATTAGGGTATTGAATTATGGAGTAGATAACTTACCTTAGAGCACCCTGATAGAAACCCTATAGAAACCCTCGTAGATCCCTTTAACCCGAAACCCTAAACCCCAGACCCTAGACCCTAAAAGCCCTATAAACCCTAGACTAAACCCTAAGGAACTCGAAACCCCAGACCCTAGACCCTAAACCCTATAAACCCTACCCTAAACCCTAAACCCTAGACCCTAAACCCTAAGGAACCCTTAAAAGGGACCCGAGACATCTGCAGTTGGGCCTTGGTGCTGTTCCCTCCGCAGAAGGAAGACCTGAGATGACTTAAGGATTAGGTTTTAGGGTTTAGGGTTTAGGGTTTGGTTCAGGGTTTTAGGGCTTAGGGCCTAAGCCTTTTAGGGGGTTTTGGGTTTAGGGGTTCAGGGGTTAGGGTTCAGGGCTTTAGGATTCAGGGCCTGAAGCCATGTAGGATTTAGGGGTTTAGGGTGTAGGGTTCGGGTGCCTTAAGCCTTTTAGCACTTCGGGGTTTAGGGTTTAGGATTTAGGGGTCTAGGGTTTAAAGTGTTGGATTAGGGTTTAGGGTTATGGTTCAGGATTTCAGGATTTAGGGCCTTAAGCCTTAAGGACTTTGGGGTTTAGGGTTTAGGGGTTTAGGGTTTTGGGTTCAGGGTTAGGATTTAGGGTCTTGGGTTTAGGGTTTAGGGTTCAAGGGTCTGGGGTTTGGGGTTTAACAAAGGTCCCATTATCCAAGCAGGGGGGTTCTTGCAGGTGGCAAATACTACCTGGGGATCCAAAAGCTTACTGTTTTAGGGGTTAGACCCTATGATGAAGGGTTCATGACCTACTGTTTCGTAGGTTTGGGGATACCCTAAACCCTAAATCCTATATCCTTAGCCCCTCAACCCAAATGCTCAGAAAGTTGTTTAGCACCCTAGTTCCTACTACTTGGGTCCCCGCGCCCTGCAGTTGCCTGAAGGCTACATGATAAGCGTAAACCCTAAACCCTAAACCCTAAACCCTAAACCCTAAACCCTAAACCCAGGAGACCTTCGCACATTTAGAAACCTCAGGGTTTAGAATTTAGCGGTTTAGGGTTCAGGGTCTATGGGGTTTAGGGTTTATAGGGTTCAGGGTCTATAGGGTTAAGGATTTAGGGTTCAGGGTCTATAGGGTTTAGAAATTATAGGGTTTGGGGGAAAAGGATGGTTCTCACAGACCGGGGATGTTCCAGAAGCGAGTGGCAGTCAAGTCAATGCGTGGCCTCATCAGGATTACATCACCCTAAACCCTAAGCCCTAAACCCTAAACCAGGTTCAGGGTCTGGCGGTTTACGATTTTGGGCCTTGCGGTTTAGGGTTGGGGCTCTACTTGAGGGTTCTGAAGGACCAGAGTGTCTGTAGATTGAAAACCTGCTTGCTGGAAACCCCATGTGAACCCGCCCCATTTTTAATTCAGCCACTCGAAAGCTACAAACATCCTCGTCACCCCGCAACCGATGTAGCCACCGTTCATAATTCGAAAGGAATCTCCCACTGACCCTAAGCCCAAATCTGCAACTCTAAACCTGTAAGCAATCAAACAACAAGCGGCTTGTCCAACAGAATGGTGCGGCCACCAAGCTCCACCACGGTGTTGGCGGCGGACATGCCTGCCGACTGACAGGACCCTGCCCGGACAATACAAATGATCACGCTGACAATCACAACCAAGGCATAGATTCATAGGTGTAGCAAAGACAAGTAGATCGATAGATTGACAAACGGATCGAGAGAGAGAGAGAGAGATATATATATATATATATATATATACATTAGCCCTCAAAGGGAACCTTCACATGGCCCAGCGTTCACGGGTAATATTGTTATGGTACTGCTATAGACCCCCCCGCCCTACCCAAGCGAACGGGAGTGAACATAGCGAGCAGCTGGCGGGGGTGATACACTCATTTGGGGGGAGGGGAGGGGGGGGAAGCTGGAAACCCGGAACACGTTGAACACAACTCATAAGGAAACCTTAGACCATTAAACCCCTTAACCCATAGGCGTAACCGTCAAGGAAGGCCTCAAACATAACAGAAACAAAGAAACCCTAAACCCTAAACCCTGAACCCTAAACCCTAAACCCTGAACCCTAAACCCTAAACCCTAAACTCCTAAACTCCTAAACCCTAAAGGAACTCTGAAATCTGAACTTTGAGTGCTCGACCTGCCAGGCCGCCGCCGACCACGATCACCTGACAACCACAGGCCCTATTTGGTTTAGGGCTTAAGGTTTAGGGTTTAGGGTTTATAGGGTTTAGGGTTTAGGGTTTAGGGCTTAAGGTTTAGGGTTTAGGGTTTGGGGGTTTAAATATTTAAGGGTTTAGGGTTGAAGGACCCTGGGTTTACGGCTTGAGGACATTCAGTGGTCAGGGTTGAGGGTTTAGGGCTTAAGGTTTAGGGTTTAGGGTTTGGGGGGTTCAAGATTTAAGGGTTTAGGGTTTAAGGACCCTGGGTTTACGGCTTGAGGACATTCAGTGGTCAGGCTTGAGGGTTTAGGGCTCAGGCCCTACCTGGACTCTTGCGTGTCTTGGGCTTCGTCATTGGCATAAGGATTGGGGTTTAGATGTAGAGTTTAGGGTTTTTGTGTGTTATTCGTTCAAAATTTCCTTGGCCCCCAACTCACCTTCCTTTACTTGGACTGTGTTATAAGCAACCTAAACCCGAACCCCTAAGCCGGAGCCCGAAAACGTACGCCAAGGGTTTCCCTAGCTAACCAAACTGTGTCCTTGGAAGGTTTAGAGTTTAAAAACGGTTATAAGTTATCAGGGTAGGGTTTAGGGTTTAGGGGTTGTAAGGGTAGGGTTTACGGCTCAATCAAACTTCGGCAGCACGTTCTTTGGTCCGGGTCGCTGCGTCTGTGGAAGGGCGGCACAAACAACCCCGACCTACTCACCAGAACATCCAAGAACCGTTTCGAGCTTTTCAATATGCTGCTGTGGTTTTTGAGGATGTCTTAAGGGTCTGAGAGAGCTTTGGATGAGGCTCTTTATAGGTTCTGCGCTGAAGGCCCTATAGCCCTATGACCCATGTAGTTAGTGGCTACTGAGTTGTGTGTGGTATCAGGCAGCATGATATAGGTGTTTAAGACCAGATGGACCAGTGTGGTCCTAGGGCTACACTCCCTAACAAGTAACACGCACACACACACACAGGGTTTAGGGGTTAGGGTTCCTGCGGACTGAACCGAAACACCTATATAATTGTTAAGTACTTTGGGCGCTATGGGTACCTGCCTGGTCCGCACTGCAAGTTGAACAAAGATGACTTGCACCAGAAAAACGGCTGAAATTACAACACGCCTAGCAAGGTACAGCCTCTCATCAAAGAAAAGGCGGTCTCGTGAAATAGTTCCTGCCAGCGTGACTGCAAGTACCACGTTGCATTTAAGCAAGATTGACAAGACCCTGCCAAGTGCACTTCCATAATCTCGTAGAAAGTCTACCGAATGAAACTCTAACACCCAAACCCTAAAAGCCTAATATCCTGGCCCTACAAACCCCCTAGAACCATACTCTGCCACTACAACCCATTGCAAAACACGCATTATGTAATATGCTGCCCCTGCTGTGCTTCATAAGCTCCTATCAGAACACCCCCTGAGCCCTAGATCCGAAATTCTCAAACCCAAAACCCCAAAACCCAAAACACCAAAACCCTAAACCACCACACCCTAAACCCTAAACCCAAAACCCTAAACCCTAAACCACCACACCCTAAACCCTAAACCCGAAACCCAAAACCCAAAACCCCCAGACCCCAAACTCAATCGCCTTAACTCTGCAACCCGAAGCCCTAGGAAACCCGCCGATTGCCTCAGGAAATCCTCGTCAAGCCTTATGAAGCCCTGAACGCTTTGATGTGAACCTCTGAACCCAGGAAATCTGTTTAGGGTTGAATTTAGGGTTTCGGGTTTAGCCTTAAACTCTTTGATGTGAAACTCTGACCCAAAAGCGTCTGCACACACCTCAAAGCAAACTTGATCGGGCCCTGCACAGCCCCTCGAACCCTCAATCAAAGTACACCCCTTGATAACCTATATAAACCCTCAAACCCCAAAATCACATCCCTTATAGAACCCTTTGTAGACATCCTATGAAATATGACCTACACTTTCACATAACTTCTATACTAAAACAGAATACAGCAAAACAATGGGAAACCCTTGAAGGATTGCACCTAAACCCTGATAAACCCTAAATCCTAAACCCTAAATCCTAAACCCTACTAAACCCCCTAACCCACTGGGCCTGATTGGCCGGGAAGACTGCAGCCATGGTGTCGGAGTGGCAAAGAGAAGGAATCGTACAGCTTGATGCTGAGAGGGCTGAGGGTTGCGGTGTTTAGGGCTCAGGGGCTTTAGGTTTTAGGCTTTAGGGTATTTAAGGTTTTCAGGCTTTGGGTTCAGGGGCTTAAGGTTTTAGGGTTCAGGGTTTAGGGGTACGTAAGGTTTTAGGTTTAGAGTTTAAGGGTTTACACGGGCTCACGGGGATTACGAGGTTCAGGGCTGTAGGGTTCCAAGCACATCCCAAACCCGAGTAATTACCTCGTTATGGGGTCCTTTGGGCCATTGGGGGGCTGAGGCAACCAAAGCTTCAAACGAGCATTAGGAATTGGACTTAGAGGTTGGAGGTTTTTGAGGGTTTAAGGGCTCATTGGCTTAAGGGTTAATGGGTTCAGGGTTTCAGGAATTGCATAGTATGTACTGCAATGGAAAGGTTTGAGGGTCTAGGGTGTAGCCCTGCGGGCTTAATTACCCCTGAACCCTGAAACCCGAAACCCTAAACCCTGAACCCTAAAGCCCTGTTACCTGATCTGCTGCCTGCCTCCGCAAGCGCTGGAGTCCTCTTGCGCGGGATAGCTGTCTTTTGTGGGGGTGGGTAGGGTTTTGGAATAGCAGCTTAAACAACCTTGTGCAACTCTTGCAGTGTGTTATACAGAAAGGTTTGCTTTACTGAATCTTTTAGTGAGTAAGAAGGGCTTGTCTATAATGCGTGCAGCTATACATTACATGGAGGTACGTATTATAACCAGAAGCCCTAAACCCTAAACCCTGAACCGTATGAAACCCACCTCCACCAGCACATATGCCCATACTTCCACAGACCCAGATCTCTGGGAGGAACCACAAGGTCGATCCTTTAATGGGGGGTTCCTATAAAGGACTCCTTAGTAGTACCGGGTCTCAAATTATGGGATCTACTTTGTAGATCATCCGATTAAACAACCCTAAGCCCCAAACCCTATAAGTGCCAACCGAGATATAGAAACAGAAATAGATGTAGGTATAGATAAGGATATGGAGAATGGATATACGGTTATCTGGAAGTATTGATATATGATGAGGATATGTATATATATATATATATATATATATTATGTATATACAATATAATATATAACACACACACATACATGGTGAGAGATCGTGCATATTATTTTTGGCAACCTTGAATGCTGACAATTAGCAGCCCAAAGACACCGGCTCCTGCCCGCAACGGTGCCGGCAGCGAGTCGTTACACTCGAGCTGCCGACAACCTGCAGTGGGCTTAGGGCTCAGGGTTTAGCGATTATAGGGTTTAGGATTATAGGGTTTAGGGTTTAGGGCCTAGGGTGTAGTATGGAATTTAGGGTAGAGCGCCAGGGTTTAGGGGCTTCACAGTTAAGGGCCTCATGAAATGAACTAAGGTTTAAGGGTGCCCCCCACCGTTTTCAACATGTGATGAACACTGTGGACTTTTCTCAATCACATTCCTAAGTTACGAGGTCTTTTCGGCTACAGGTGGGCCTCAAACCCTCCCGACGCCTAAGCACTACATGGCCAGACCCGAATGCCTAATATAGGGGCCTTGATAAGTAGAATAGGGCTTGCAAACACTCGAAAGCTATCTTGACCTTATGAACCCTAAAGCTCTGAACGCTACATGCTAAAGCCCTAACATCTAAACCCGACCTGGGCCCTAGAAAACCTACCGTTTCAGGGATCCTTACTATGATTTCTTTCTAGATGTCCTTAAGAAGGTAGGGTTCTTGGGGCTAAGATAGCAGTCCAGCCGGCCTCCCATACTATTTCTGAGTAAGGCCCCCCCAAAACCCTAAACCCTAAACCCTAAACCCTAAACCCTAAACCCTAAACCCTAAACCCTAAATCCTAAACGCCAAACCCTCAGGGTTTCAGGGTTTAGGGTTGAGGGTTTATTACCCAGGTTCCTGAAACCAAGTCAGCCTCGTTCCACAGCTGCCCCAACAACTTTGACCTCGGCGAAGGGGCGGATCGATCTCGGGAGCAGTCGTTCGCGTTTTCAGTTTAGGGTTCAGGGTGTGGGGCTTAGGGTTGAGTAAGGCTTCTGTTTAGGATTTAAGGTTTAGGGTTTAGGGTTTAGGATGTGAAGCAACTTGAGTTCAAATCTTTGTCATGACGATACATTACCACAAGAATCTAGATATGTACACATACCATGAAGCCTATAATGAGGGAACGCTGGCCTAAAGGGTTTAAGTTAAGTTCCGAAGCACTAGAGTTGCAATCCTGCCATTTGGGCACTCGGAGCCTTATGGTTGCACAACGCAGCCCTGAAACCCACACCCTATACACCCGATACAGCCT